TATTAATATGTACAACTAAAATTACTAATAAAGATATGAGCAAGGCCTCACCTTAATACCAAAAAAAAAAAAAAATTGTTAAAATAAACAAAATTAAACTTTATACTTATGTTAGTAATTTACTAAATAATTAAATAATTATAATTAGTTATATTTTTTCTCAAAACACATTCATTAAAGTGAAAAAAATTAAATTTTATACTTAAATTGTTAAGTTATTAAACAATTAAATAATTATAGTTAATTATATATTTTTTTAAAAGAAAAATATTACAATTAACTTATAGTAATTATTACTACTTTTATTTTTAGAGTTAGAATGCAATTTGAGACAGAAGCAAAAATTAGATATAATAGTCTGAATTTTAAATTATATAAAGTTTTTAAATGTTCTAAACATTTTTACTTAGTTTATCTACCTCCTGTTTCTTAATGTATTTTTTGAAATATAGCTCCTAAGTGATAATTACTATAGATTATAGTTAGTAATATTCTTAAAATTTAAATATTATAGTAAATAGAATTAAACTTTATATTTATATTAGTAATTTATTGAAGATTAAATAATTATAATTAATAATACATTTTTTTAAAATATAATTATTAAGTTAATAAAATTAAATTTCATATTCACATTAATAATTTATTAAATAATTATAATTAATTATATATTATCTTAAAACATTAATTTGTAGTATTTTAAAATTATATATAAACCTAATGATAATTTTATTTATATTTAATTTTATAAAAAATTATATTAAGTAAACTAATTTTAATTTATAAGAAATGTTTGTAGAATAGGTTTTTCTAATTCTAATAATAATAAAATTATTAATATTGAGTAAAAACTCAGAAGATATGACTTTTTAAAGATTAGATATAAAATTTTATTAATTAAGTTAACTTATAGAATTATATAAATTAACTAATTAAATCTAATAATCTTATATAATCTTAGCAAATTTGGAAAAACTTAAAAAACTTTATAATATATACAAGTATATTTTTTTAAAATAATAGAATACTTTAAAAGTTTATTATAATAGATAAATAATTTTATTTATAATATTATAAAATTTTTTTATTGATTAATTAAAAAATAAAAAATTTTTTTTTGGTGTTAAGATGACCTCTTTGGTCTTTTGACTTTTATTAATCACTTATCAGTATTGTAGTTTAATGAACCACTGCAGAAGAGTATACAATTGGCTACATGTATAACTTTTCTATATTACTTATTTAAGAAGTCTGCCTAAAGATTTTCTACTAATTGCTGTATCTAACACCTTTGCTTGAATATTCTACTTTAAACCTTCTGAATCTATAAACTATATTAACTTACTGGATCATATCCAAATGTTCAAATTATCATCTCAATCTTAGGACTAATTTATTTTCAAGATAAACTCTTTAGAGTTTTTTGTATACATTTTTATAACTGATCTAGATATTACTATAGCAAAACTAACATTTGCAGTCAAAACTTAATTATTAAACTTTATGTTCTTGTAGAGTTTACTTAGACTCCAGCATCTACTTCATAGCATAATCTTAGTATTTTAATATATTCCTGAATTTTATCAGACTTCTAATCCAGATGGCCTATATAGGACTATAGCTAATTTATTGATATATTAGGTTAGTCCAATATCTTTTTTCTCTGGTTTATTCTAGTAACTTGGTTGGTGGTACTTTTGAGGTTCCTAACCCAGAAGTTCTTGTCTGTCTGATTACTAAGACCTAAATATCTGTTTCCTTAGGCTAGCTTTTACAGTAATACTATCAAAGATCCAGCTATTTCTCTATTTAGATTCTCTCAAATGAACTTCTTGTTACCTAATTTCAATAAGTTTACACAACTACAAAAACTTATCTAGTATTTGCACTACTTGATTTGTTAGTTTGCATTCTTCTGTGTAACTCTAACATTGCACAAATGCCCTATAATCTGCCAGTCATACTGGTGTGACTACCATTACAGGTATTCTAACCCAATCATTAGTAACAGTTAACATAATATAAATATTATATAGATGATTATCCAAATTTTTGCTGTTAATAGAATTTGAATATCCAACCTACTACTTGAAAGGTTGACAACCTAACCACTTTATTAGGTTGCTATATTTCTAAAATAAAAAAGTTTTATTTGTAGCATATATCAATTTTAAATAAAAATTTTAAAATACTATACATTTTTATATAAAAATAATTTATGTTACCTTCTATCCTTAAAGTAAATAAAATTAAACTTTATACTCATTCTGGTAATTTGGACTAGATGCTAAGAAAAGAGATGAAATTAACAAAAATAAAAATCTTTAAAAAATCAATTTTTATATTATAAATCATATAATAAATTATAGAAAAATACAAACTTTAAGGAGCTATATTACAAAATTTTATTAATACAACTACTTTTAAGTTTTAAATGAAAAAAAAATAAACTTAATTTTATTTTAAATTAATTTATATAAAAAAACAGTTTTTTAAAAAAATGTCAATTTTGTTTCTTTTCTTAGCATCTAGCCCATTTATTAAATAATTAAATTATTATGCTTATATATATTTTCTTAAAATACAATTATTAGTAAACAAATTATAATTTTATTTATTTGTTATAATTAATAATTCATGTTTTTTTTTTACAATTTAATCTTATTTTTGGATACAATTAATTAAAAATATTAAAATATATAAATCTTAAATTAATTTATATTTATATTAATATAATATATACATATTGATATAAATAGATAAAATTAGTAAGCTTAAAGTAACTTTGTTATTACTATTAATACATCAATATAACAAACTTATATGAAATAATTTCTGTAATGTTTTTTTATAATTCTTACAAGATTTTTTATAATATATGATTATAGCCAATTAGATTAAAAAATTAAATGAATGTGAAAATCATATATTTTTAAAAAATCACTATTAACTCAAAATTTTATCTATGAAACTGCCTTCTGTATTCTAATAAAAAAATTCTATGTAAAATTTTAGTATAAGCTATGATCTTCCTTATCCTTAATCCTAACTCTAAAGATAAAGCTTATTACTTTAAAATCTTTCACTTAATTCGATTGTTTTAATTTTACATTACATCTAATTCTTCGATCTAATTGTCAAAAATTATGTGCTAATAAAATCTTGTAAGTGAGCTTTTCTCACATTTTCTCCAAAAAAGTCAACAACATTTTTAACATAATGTGATATATATTTGAAAAAATTCTTTAAGTTCGTTTATATTAGAGCCTATTTTAGTATTAGAATTAGGAGTTCTAATAGTAAAATCGTTCGAGAAAAAACTTTTTGTTAATACGCAGAAGGTATTTCCTTTGCAGATTTTGAATTATAAGCGATTTCGACAAACCGAATGTTTTGCATAATGTTACACCAAATCGAGATGCATTACTGGCTTATTTTCGTCGATCATCACGTGGTGGTAAAAATTACATAGTAATTTTGCTAGCGACACTATGGTCACATTTTTTGAAAATAACTAATCAGAAATGTTTAAACAAACGAACTCTGAATTAGATGGTTAGATATAAAAAAGTGCATATCTTTAGACGACAGTTTATTGTCATGCCTTTTCAGGTATAAGCAATTTGCCTCCAGCAAATATTTATTAGTGTATATATTGCAAATTCGTTATATATATTTTCTGATTATTGTTATCTTATTTCTACATAGCTACGGAATGGTATTTTATTAAGCACACTATGGAGGGCCTATATTGTACCAGCAAAAGTGAATATCGAATTAATTTCTCCAAAACGGCATTGAAGAAGGATCTTGAATAGGTGTAAAAAAGTAATTGAAGTTGTGGGACTGTTGAGGGATAGGATTACGATGTGAAATTAAAAAACGCCGCATACAACAAAAAATTCAAAAATATATAATATTTTCTTTAACTGTATTTTTATATGTTCGCGATTTTAAAAAATTTGTCTTGGAAAAATGATCGGCGTGACAATTTGTCACGTGCGCTTAACCTTTACACGATAATGTATGCATTTACTATAAATTTATGGTACGCAAATTGATTCTGTAAAGGGAAAGTATGCGTCTAATATTCCAAAATTTGAATGATTACATAATTATCATTTTAGGAGAAATTTAATTCGTCATTTAGCAAATCGGATTATTGCGTAAGTGTTCACAATAAAGATATACATAGTTGGAATTACGAAATAGATTTATTACTACATAACTACTTATTATAAAGTGATTAAGCGTTTATCATATTTGCCTTACGCTTTTTCTGTGGCGTCATAATACAATTAGAGAGAATGGTCAAATCTCTTTGCTTACGGGCACCAGCTTCTTGCAAGTCCTCCAATGTGTCACCATCGCACATTTCTTCGACAACTTCGATCGTTTTACGGACAATCATCTAAGATGTTTAAAAAAGTCAAACACTAAATGATTTTATATTACTGCAATAACGAAAGTATCAATACTGACCTTCGCCTTCCACGTCAAAACCAAACATTTAAGAGCTTTTTCGAATTGGTTGACATTGGTTGGCATTTGTAAGGTATCCGACCTCGTAATTCTACAAATATATCCAGCAGGAACATCCATACGCAACAAAATCATAAAAAGACCTGTATCATAATATAATAAATATGTTATAACAAAATTTATCAAGGCTTAATTAGTTAAAAATTATCTGCCTACCTGCGTGAATGAAACTAACAAGCTCAAATTGGCGAAGCTTTTCAGCTTTCCATTCAACAAAATTCCCAAGGTTAACAATCATATCTTTAAGCATCTTCGGGCTTTTTAATCCTCTTTCCTTTAGTAATTTTGATCCATTATCTCCATCATAGTCCTTTCCTACCTCAGAAGCGCCATATTCGTAAGATCCTTTTCTTATGATAAGATCGCCCCTCCTTCCAATAGATTTTCTCGTTGTCTTTACAATTCCTTGAACTATCCTTCTATTATTTTTACGCTTTGATGAGGCAAGACTACATGATTCACCTCGGGCAATATCAACTCCTTCCAATTCATTAAAACATTTATCAATAAATGACCATATGTGAATGTTGTGCCACGCCTCCAAATGTTTTTGTTGTAATGTATCTGATTCATATTCTAATATCAAATTATAGATACTATTCTTGACCCAATCAAAATTAAAATGTTTTATTTTATCAAAATTTTCGCCTTCCCAATCTTGTCGTACACAAAGTTCTACGCGCAAATCTTTAGTTGTTTTCATTCGAAAGGAGCTGATGTACTTTAATAATTCACTCGGCATTTCTGGAAGGTTTTTTGCTCCTGTATCACGAATTTCTTTTAGCTCTTCAGAGTTAAAAATCTTGTTTTTAATATACGTTTCATCATCTGGATCAATAATGAATGAATGAATGTGCAAGGCTGGAAAAAATTATTTGAAGTGAATAGTTACATCAGAAATTCATATAACTAATATATCTTCACATACTGTTCAAACCGGCATCGATTTCCAAAAAAATATAACTCATCTTCAACACATTTCCCTGATGTCAAATACCATTTTTTCTCCTTTTTCATTGCTTTGTATGAATCTCTAAATTCAGCTATATTTGATTTACCCATTTCTACGCTTTTTTCATCGTCGCTATTTTTATTAAGATCATTGTCCTCATCGGACCATGTAGATTTGCACTCTATTGTTTCATCATTATCATCTAGGTTCCTAAGTTTCTTGGTAAACCGATTTGGTTGTTGTTCACCGGGGCTCATCCAGAATTTATCGATTTCATCATTTAATTTTAATTTCTGCCAAAATAAAATCATAATTAAACTACAAAATAACAATAACATTCCGTAAACACATACCTACATAGCTATTAATGTATCCAGCAGATTTTCGATTTTCAATATCATTCATCATTGCGCTTTGAAAATCTTTCCGAGTTTGGCTGGTTTTTCCTTTCCTTTGCTAAAGTAGAATATCAATAACATATATTTATAGCTTTCTGACCTGATCACACAATGGTCTCTATACTTACTTTTGCATCATTACGTATTACTTCCAGAAGGGTGTCACCAATAATTTTTAGATACTCCGTTTTCTAATAAAGCAATTTAAGCAATAGCATGTCAGATTGGTCTATTAAGTTTCATAATCAATAAATAAGATAAAACCATACAATTATCTTTCTTCTAATAGCTTGGACATGCCGTTTAACATTAGGACCAACTTCTTTAATGTTTATAATCTCATTTAAGCTTTGAATGTATTGATCAAGCACTTGTTGTGCAGTTAACGTTGGATCATTATTATATGCCGATTTTGTGAAATTTTCAATGTTATTCCATCGTTTCAAGAGTGTTACAGAAAAAAATTTATTTATTCCAGTGTGTGGTTGACAAAGGCCCGCATCTAACACGAAATCATTAACGTTTCTCATCTATCCTTGCAAAAAAAAAGTATGATTAATAATGGAACAAAACGAAGCCGTACAAATTATACTCTATTGAAGTCCCCGTCCGAGTGCAGGTTAATCAGTCACGATCATACGGTTGAGCGCATGACGTTCACAGGCAACTCTGACATAAAGACCCTTTCCACCTTTTCGTGTTGAACGATCAGGTAGAGTGGCGAGCCTCCCGCGAAACCGACAGATACCCTCTCAAATGTTGACTCTTTCCGCGATCTCTTATCTTACATATGTGTTGAACACAGAAGATTTGCACGTAAACCCTGGGTCATTACTGCCAGCATCCAATCTGTCTAGACGACATCAAGCTGTCCGACCAAGTCAACTGCCCTTCGTGTTAAACTGCCAGGTAGTTCTTGGTGGTCCCCATGCAACAAAAAGAGATGCGTGGATTGTAAAAATAAATCAAGTGTTTAATACATAACCTTTATAATAGAACAGAACAACACGACAACACGAAAAAAATACGATAGTGCGATAGCATGTCACAGCGACTGTTATTATATTACCACTCACATGATACTGCATATAAAATCCGATTTTGGGACACTTGAAAAATCGTGAATCCATTTATATCACATTTGATATAATCATATCATGTAGTATAACCATATTATACAATGTGATTATATAAGGTGTGATGTAAATGGGTTCACGATTCCCCCGATTTTTTGCTGGCGAGCCTAATATGATAGAATCGTGGGACAGGAAAGCATAAAATCAGGCCTGCCGGGATCCTAGGCCCCTTTACATTGTAAAGTAATGGAAATTCATTTGCTTATATCATCAGGTGTGGAACTACAACGAGTATTATTATTATAAAATTTTTTTAATTAATGTTGTGTTCAGAAATTTTTGCTTTGTTGATCAGATCCTCTTCTATTAATGCATCGGCAACCAGACTATTAAGACATATAAAAAGAACTCTGATAGAAAGTAATCAAGATATCTATATCGTACACTTTATCATGTATTTTATATATATATTTATTTTTGTTTTTTAATTTTTGCTGTGATATTCTTTCTGTTTTTTGGTTTTTGAATGAGGGATTGACAAAACAATTTCCTTGTAATTGTATAAAAAGGATTGATCTACACCCTCCATTTTTATATATTCTTAGTTCTAAATCTAAATTGAATTGAATTGAATCTAGATTCTGACTGAGCGCTGGCCGCTAAATGTCAAACATGAAAATCATACATGTATTTGTCGATTTTGATCGATATTCTCGGTTTATAATTATGTATATGCATCTTTGGTTTTATATTTTTGATTTTTTTTCATATTTTTTTTTCTGGGTAGATGAATTGATAATCAATGATCGTCAAAGGCTATAACAAAAAGATCATAGCGAAGGTTTTACCTATTTTAAAGGCCAAAGTGAGAACTATTACAATTAAAACCTGCAATTCTGTAACGTGATATAAACCATTTACTAATAAGAAAATTTGTACCAATAATCATTATACAGTAGCCAACAAAAGTAATGCCCGATTTGCAGATCGTTACACATGAGCAACTAAAAGGGTTGTGCATACCCTCATTCTTACAAATTTTGGGCAATTTTTTTTATTTTTTGTTTCTTGATGTTGAAACAATCAAGCATACATTAAAGAAAATTTTTTTTAATAAAAATGTTATATAAACAAATGATTAAAAAAGATAAAAGAACAATCCTTGCTCATATTAGTACAATAAGTGTTGAACAAGTTGTCTACAAGATTAAGTATGTTTTAACAATAGTTTAAAGGTTTTAAAAAAATATAGAAGGATCAAAAAAATTACAAATTTACCTCAATCTGGATGTTTTCTTGTCTTAAAGAAACAAGAAAAGACTGTTATATTAAAAAAAGTATTAAAGGAAAGACATGTGTTTCTGTTCAAAATTATAAAAGATTTAAACTTTCAATGCAGTATGCAGACTATAGTTAGGATCTCATACAATGTTGGATTTCATTCTTATATTATTGCCTTGAAACTTTTTTTGTCAAATAGTAATATAGAAGAATATATAAAATAATATAAACAAAATAAAATAAGGATACTTAATATTAGTAAGATAATTTTTTAGATAAAATAAATATAGAAGTTGAGTATATTATTGCATAAATAAGAGATACAAATATGAATGTTTACAACTAAATTTTAGAAATAGAAGGGTCTCAATAATAGTTTGTTATATTTTATTAATAATATCAAAGATTCTATAGTTTTTTTTAATAATTACAAAGATCTCAAGCAAAAAATTAATAAAAACATTTATATCAAAGTTCTAAATAATCATCTTATATTATTTATAGCTGCAGTTCATTTGTAAAACAACCTTTATCTAATTTTTTAACATGATAATGTTCTAGTTCATAAGGTATCAAATTAGCTTGATTCAAAAAATATTAATTATATGAATTGATCCTTATAATCTTCTGACCTTAATCCTATAAAAAATATTTAGAAGATTATAAAAAATAATATTCAAAATTGTAATAACTTTTTAAGAAATAAATCTAATCTTAAAATGGTCTTACAGAAAGTATAGTTAAATTTGAATATATTAGTTCTTCATATAGTTGTAAACTCAATAATATAAAAAATTAATACTATTGCAAGTATAGAAGATTACTCAGTAAAATATTAAATAAATATAAAAAAAATTTTGATGTATATGTAGTCAAAATTAAATAAATTAAAATTTTATTTTTTAATCTAAAATCAAGTATTATTTTTGTTGATTACTGTATATGTGCCAATTTCTTAGATAACTTATTTATATAGTTTAAAGTACTTTAAAAAATATAATATTTTTATACCAAAAAATTTTATAAAAGTTATTTTTAACTTTAAAAAACAATTTATATCATTGTATAAAAATAATTAGTAATTTCAAAGACTTTATTTAAGAGCAAAAATTTTATTACTTATTATATATGCTGCCTTTATTTAGATAGATATTCTGAATATTTCTAAACTTTGAATGAAGATAACTTGACATCTATTTGACCAAATTTAATGAAAATTTTTTTATTTACATTGTATAAATGCATAGAATTTAAATAAATAAAAAAATTTAAATTTGGTTAAATAATTATCAAAGTATTTTCACTCAAAGTTTTGATATATATAGTTTTTTTTTTTTAAAGCTTCTGCTTTTGAAGATTAATATTTTTATTTAAGTATTTAAACACAGATGCCTCTAGAAGCTCTCTTATATTAAAGGTTATAACTAGTTACATGTGCACTTTTGGTATTTAATTTAAGTAGTCTGTCTATATCTACTATATAGGTTCTATACTAGATACTATACTTGCAAGCTAGCTATGAGTTTTTCTTATTTAAACCTTTTGCATATTTAGTTCAACATGTTTCACAATAACATCTTTAAGACTACACTTATTCAAAGTACCTAATGCCTTTGAGATCCTTAAAACTAATTTATTCTTAATAAAAAACTTACTAGAATCTTTTATATCTTATATATAACTAACTTAGTTTTATATAACTCACTATAATTGTCTAATACTTGCAATTATAAGAGTTATCTGTTTAACTACTATGTTATACTATTTCTATCTTTGTAAAGTTTACTAGAACCTTAGTACCTATTATCATAATGTTTTCTTTATAATCCTTTACTAACTACTACTTAGAACTGACAGGACTTCTCAATTTCTAATTTAGATAGTTTGGTATGATATACATATATATTCTTTTTTTCTGATAATTCTGATAATTTGATTAATTATATGCTTTTCTATATATCTTGTTATTTGGTTTATCTACTTATCTCTTTGAAAGTGTTTTATAAGCTTTCATTGGTTTAATTGTATTGTTGAAAATTCATACTAACTCTTTACTTAAAAATTTCCAATTAGGTTTTTGACTCTTTAGTTCTTTAGTTTATTATGTCTGATAGTCTTATTATGAGTTTGTACTAAAGCCTTATACAATATTAGTTATTAACATTTATTTATATATATATAATATTACATTTTGCATAAATGCTTCAAGTTTCTATTTAAGATAGTACAACTTAAAATTACAGATATACTAATTCAACTAATTATCAAGTGACAGTCTGCTATAATACAGATATAATTTTTCAAATTTCATTATAAGTAAAATTTAAACACTAAATCTGTTATTTAAGAAATAATAACCTAACTACTATATTATAATTGTCATTCTTAATATGTATAACTTTTATTTATATAGTATAAAACCTATATTCTTATGAAAATAAGAGAAATCTGATTAGCTAGTGAAATTTTTTAGATTGGTAATTTTAAAACAATTGTGAAATAAACAGTACTATATTTAAAACTGTAAGCAAATGATAAAGTTACTTATTATATTTAATATTGCTAGTTACTATATTAACAAATTTAACTCTAGTAGCTTGATTTTGTATATATAACAAGTAATTAATATAACAATTTGTCATATATAACTTTTTCTTATTAACAGTTTTTTGGGTTAATCTTTAGTATAGATAGGCAAATATAATTATTATATAATTATAATATATATAAATTAACTATTTTGAATTAATTTAAGTAAATTTACAAATAGTTAGAGTTAGAGTTAGGGTTATAATATAAATTGGTCTAAATTAGATAGGTTTTATATATTATAATTTTGTAATAATTTATATATGCTTACTTATACTAAAGAAGATCTGAATAAAATATCATATTCCCAAGATAAAAACTTTAACTATAAAAAAAAAACAAAAAAACAAAAGCATATAACAACAGAACTGAATTTAAGAGCTTTAAAGTAATAACTACTTTTAGTACTTTCTTTAAGTTTAGTAATATTACAATTGTTAAATTGTTTGTTTACAAAAATAAAATATGATAAGATTGCTACATCTTCATAAATACCAATTCTAAAGCTTTTAGAATACTTTTAATAAAAATAATTAAAGTTAATAGTATTAAATGCAGTTGTTATCAAAATTGGCATTTTAATCTAAAATTAAATTACTAGATATATTTTTTAAAAAATTTGTTTTATTTAAATGTTTTTAAACTAATTAGAGAAATTTAAAAAAGAGTTTAAACTTTAGATAAGCTAATTGAATATTTTAAAAATTCTAATAAATGCCAGAAACATAAAATTGTTAATGCAAAGAGCAGATTTTTGTTTTTGCTTTTTGATTGTATCTCTATATGTTTTGGTCTATTTTTAATAAATTATATATTAAAATGTCCATTTTAGTAAGCTGAACAATTTTGAATAAATAAAAAAATAGATTTAATTAATAAAATTATATATAAATAGACAAAAACCAAAAACTTAGTTTTAAAACTTTTCTTAGTAGCAAATGTTATTAAGATTTAAAATACAATTATCTAAAAGAAAAAAAATATACTAAACAACTTTACTTAAGAGATTAAATAAAGGTATATTTAATAGAAAGTTGAACAAATAATTAAATATTTTTTTATAATTTTGATATAAATGATCTACAAAAAGAGTTCTTTTTTAGTAAGTAAAAATATATTACTAATAAAAATTTTTTAAAAACATATTAAATTTTTATTAAAGTTTTAGAATATATAAATTAAAATAGTTTATTTATTATAATAAAATTTTATAGAAATAATATAATTATAGCCTATAGCTATATATAGTTATAGTACTAAATAATAGTTAATTATATAAAATATAAGTAAGTTGTATAAAATGTAAGTATAATGCAATAGTATACTAGCAATATAAAAGTATAATATATATAATATATAATATAATAGTGTATATACATATAAAGAAAAAATAAATCAAAAATACTAGCCTTTAGAAAAAAAAACTAATATAAAATAAATGTCTATCTTAATAAGATCTTTGAAATAATTGTTTTTTAATAAGAAAATTTATATTGAACAAAAGTAATATTATACTATACTGATGTTTTTTTTTAACTATACTAATATAATAAATACTTGTATTTTTTTTCATTTGCAAAAGTAAGAAATTAAATGAGATATTATATTTTGTTCTGATGTGTAAATATCAAATATATTAAACAAAGTTGGTTATTAGAAAAGTTACTTTAATTAAACATTAAGTAGTTATATAATATTTTGCTTACTTATTCTGGTCCTATTAGCTATTCTATTAGCTGTTCTATTTGTTTTAATTATAAATATATAAAGAAAGTAAGTTTTTAGTAAATTTGTTAATTTTTTTTTTGCTTTCATTAAGGTCATTGATTATTAATAGCTACTGTCTTTATTGTAATTTAATTATGATTATATAATTTGTACAAGATAAATGTATAACTAGTTATATATATAGCTTTTGACTATTTATTTAAGTAGTCTGCTTACAAGTTCTATACTAACTATTATATTTGTAATTTGCTAGAAAATTATCTAATTAAACATTCTGATTTTTATATTATACTTGACAAATAGTACATAAGTTTTTATATATTTAAGTGCTATCTAATTTAATTCTAACCTTTCTGTTTATATATTTATTAAGTTATTATATATTTCAAAGTATGTTATCTAACTGTAGAGCTTCAGAAAACCCTCTTGCTAACTAATTACCTATTTTTAGTTCTTGTTAATAGGGCTTACTCTTGCAAAGTTCATTCAGATCTCTGTGTCTGTATATATTTTTAAACAATGTTCTTAATATTTTAAAGTTATTAAACCTTGATTTTCTTCAATTTATATGTTTAAACTTTTCAGAAATAATCTATTGCACTAACCTCTGTTAAGATCAAAAGGTTTTATTAACTTTATCAAGAACTAGCTATCATTATGAGTTCATGTAGTATTTATAAGTATCAGACTTTTGACCTTATATTATGTCTTATAACTTTGGTTATTATAAATTAGGCTTTAACTCATATTCATCATTGCATAACTTCACAACTGCAGGTCACTTGTTATTTCTAGAAATAAGTCTGTCCTTGAACATCCTAAATGTCTGATTTTACAATGTTGTAATTTCCTATTTTTAGAAATACATTTCTACAATTGCTGTCACTAGGATTTAAACTAGCAGTTTTGCAATTTGTGATCTTAGAACATAATTGCTATGCTATTGACCTTAGAGATTTTTTCTTTTATTAATAAAAAAAATTTGTTGATTCAATTTTTGTATCTTATCTAGGTTTTTTTTTAAACCAATTTTTTATATATAAAAAATTAGTAACAAAAGTTATATTTATTCTTATTTACTATTTGTAATATGTAGATTTATTTTCATATAAATCTTTTATTACAAAATTTATTAATAATTATTATAAAAAAAAAAAACAAATATGAAACATAAATCTAATTTTTTAAAAAACTTTACAAACATTTATAATAATAATTTATTTTTAAAAAAATAATTTAACTTACAACTAAAAGTTTTAAAAAACTTTGATTATTCAAGATAATGTTTATATTTTATTTTTCAAGAAAAATAGGTTAACTTACTATTTTAAATGATTTTACACAAATTAACCAACTAAAAAAAAACAGATTATAAATTTTAATTATTAAATGTAATAATGCCTCTGATTAGAAAACTCTTGTTGACCAAATGAAAAAACATTACTAACAAATATAAGGCCAAAATTAACTAATTATCACGATAGGTTTTATCCGACATGTCTTATGTAAATACCGAATGATTTCTCACAGTAGATACCGCATTATGACGTGATCTTCGGCCATGTTAGAAAAACAGTATCCTAGTTATCATCCACAACATGACCAATAACAAGTACTTAGTTGATCATTGTGCACGCTTATTGGTTATCAGGTTTGGGATTTCGAAAAATGATCCAAAATTAGTAATTTCGGATTTGGGTAACACTTCAAACATATTCTTCTCAAAACTAAAACTACCTTTCAGACAGCTCATATGTTCAACCTTTCTCACTGATATTATAAAAAGATCTCAACAACGGTGCTTTTGGTTCAATAGGTAAAGTCATGTCATCTTCTATCGTATCCATTCCACGTAAACATAAATAAAATATACAGACCTGCAATGAAGGTTTAAAATATAAATATTTTTTGCTTAAGTTTCCAGTGAAGGTCTTTGGAACTTACAAGATCACGAAGTTCTGGATCTAATCCATTATGATGTTTGCAAATGAAGTTTTTATTCTGAAGGATAAAAAAGGGATTCAATAAAATTCGATAACATCGTTGAATAAATTAGGTTTCTACTGTCAGGTGTGTGTTTGATAATGGACTGAGTGGATGAATACGAATGAAGAAAGGTTTAGATTGATTTGTCTCTGCAAATTTATTGTACATGGTACCTTCCCTGTAAAATACTTATCAACTTTTATCTAAATTTTTTAATATTACGTAGTAGTCATTTATTGTTATCAATATGGTATTAGCATAAGTAGTACTACGTAAGTACGATATAAGTGCAAAATATGCACAAATATTAATAATATTCAAATACGGTAAATTTATTCTTGGTTAATTGTCACATTTAAATCTATTTTTGGAAGTAATGCAGCGTTGCTTCCAAAAATAGAACTTTAATTATTTTAATGTGACAATCAACCAAGAATAAATTTACCATGTACAATCAATTTGCAGAGACAACTCAAACCTTTCTCCATTCGTATTCATCCACTCCACTCATTATCAAACACGCACTCCTAACAGTAGAAATCTAATTCATTCTGATTTATTCGACGATGTTATCGAATTTTATTGAATCACTTTTTTATCCTTCAGAATTGATTGCTCTTGTAAGGTATCAACTTTCCAGACAATCAAATATAGTAGATATTTCTACTTGGAGTAAAGCAAAGCAACGGTGCTATCATTTTTTAAAACTGACATCGGGTTCATTTGCAAATATAATAATGGATTTAGATCCAAAACTTCGTGATCTTGTAAGTTCCAAAGACCATCACTGGAAACTTAAGCAAAAATATTTATATTTTAAACCTTCATTGCAGGTCTGTATATTTTATTTATGTTTACGTGGAATGGATACGATAGAAGATGACATGACTTTACCTATTGAACAAAAAACACCGTTGTTGAGATCTTTTTATAAGAAGATCAGTGAGAAAGGTTGGACATATACTGAAAGTAAGTTATTTATTCATTTTTATTTTATATATTTGACAGTAATTTTTATTTATTTATTTAGATGGTCCTGATGAAAAGGATAGACAATTGCTTGTAGAATTTGATGTTGTTATCGAAGAATTCTTGCTTCTTCCGCAAGAGTATGTTTTTCTTTATCAGTATTTACTTCATAATATATAATTATTTTGGTCGCCTAATATTTTGGTCGCCTAATATTTTTTTTAGGTGCCAGGTAATCATTACAGATATTACTAAACAAATGGGTAATGGTATGGCAGACTTTGTATCAATTTCAGCTCGTAATAAATATAGCATAATCACATTAAAAGACTTTGATAAGTACTGTTATTATGTTGCTGGACTCGTTGGAATTGGTATAAGCGATCTGTTTAATTCTGTTGGCGCAACAGTTCCTGATACAACAAAAAATTTTGATACGTGAGTTTGCATATAAATGCTCAGTAGTATTTTATTTATTTTTTATTTTTTACTATACAAATTTCAATTTATTAATTTAGTATAATATCAATGGGAATTTTTCTACAAAAACTGAACATACTTCGCGATTTTGTGGAGGATCTGGATGAAAAACGAAGATTCTGGCCAAAGGAAATTTGGCATCAATATGTTTCAGAAATTGAAGACTTAGTTCTTATTGAGAACAGGCAAAAAGCCTTAAATTGTCTTTCCGCTATCGTGTTAACCACTTTACTCCATGTATCTGATTGTTTGAATTATTTAAGTCAACTTGACGATCCTGACATTTTTTCTTTTGCTGCAAAGCCACTTGTTATAGGATATAGTACTTTAGCATCTACTTTCAAAAATTATGATTCTTATAAGAAAGTCGTAAAGATTAGAAAAGGAGAAGGTGCCAAAGTATGTATAATTATTTAGAACTTAAAATTGCAGGAAGTGTATCTTGTTACTATATGATTTGTAATAATCATAATCTGATTTTATAGCTTGTTTTCAGATGTACTAATATATCAGAAGTTTCAAAAATGTTTTTTGAGTATACTCAAGTAATAATTTCAAAAAATAATGATCCACAAGATCCAAGTTTTGCCAAAATTAATGATATTTGTGAACAGGTACTTTTCATGTATATAATTTTGAATTTTTGTATAGTGTATTGACAAATATTAATTTCATATTTATATAATTTTTGAAGATTATAAAATTGTGTAAAGAAAACATGATTCCGACTAAAATTTGAAAGATTACAACACATCAATGATTATTTAAAACAAACTTTAATTTACCATTTTTTTTTTTAGTCAAAAGGCAAGTATAGTTACTCGTCAAATACATTTTTTGGGCCATGTGGCTAATTAGACATTAACACATATTTAAGATGTGTATGCATTATAGATAATTTATCTGAATTCAAAACTAAAAGTTATGTAATGTGATCAAACTAATTTAATCTTTATTCAAATTTTTTTACTTTGGATAGTAACTATATCTGGGTTGGTGCATTAATTAGAGTATATATGGTACACACATTTATAGAGGCTATATTCAGAGGAAGCCAGCTGCATTTATTTCTAAATAGCTCTTTTTAAAGAACGTCTGTATAAATAAATCGATACAACATTTAACATTCACGTAATATAATAATGCAAATGATATTAATCTGAGACGTCCATGTTATAAGTGAGTTTTGAATCCTGTAGATTCAGGACCATTGAATCTTGTAATGATTTAAATGGAAATGGAATTGTTAAAAAATGAACAGGCTAACAAAATTTTGACAGTAAGAAATATATATCAGTTCGAAAATATTACTGTATTGTTGAATATTTTAACCTTTTCATTTACATTCACCTTTACATCTGCTTAGACTGCCATAGTAGAAATAGATACAGTACAGGACAGCAAAAAACATCTAAGATTTTATGTATAATTTGTAAAGTGTTATAACTCAAAAACTTATAATGAAATTAAAAATCTTTTCTAACAGATTTGATACAATTTAATAAAGCTACAATTCTTTTAGAATAGATTTTATTTCTTTAACAATTTATAAAGTTATTTCATTCTAAAGTTTATATGTGTTTCAAAAATCTGGTGCTTTATATATAAAAAAAATTGGTCATATGTTTTATTAACCAATCAAAATTTATTACACGAAATTAGCCAATCAATTTGCGTAAATTCAAATTTTGGCCTTTTAAAAAAATATTGGATGTCCCGTACTGTAGCATTCTTGTGGCTTCTTATACACTAATAATTTTTTTGTGTTTGACCGATACTACTGATATAGTTTCATTCGGTCATTTAGATATTCCATTTTTGTTTTAAAATTTCTCGATTACTTTGCATGGTAAAGCAATCAATAACGATCTATTATGGAATTCTAAAAATCACAATCGATAGGTTTTATTTTTAACGTTAATGTTAATAATAAAGTGGTTTAGGTACAGGTTTGATAACCAAAAATTAACTCATTTTTTCGCATCCTATGATAAAATAATGAATCCCTGGATAAAGAAATAAAAATAACGTGACTTTTAAATAAAGCTTACCCTGAACATTAACGAAATTCTTCTTCCTTTTGGAACAATCTGACCTTTAAATTCATGTTGAGCGGGATCTTGGGGAATCTCGTGAGTAAAGTTGAAACGAATCTTATCCCTTTTAGTTAAAGATAGGAATGTATTATACAAACAATCCGTTATTAAATTCAAATTCTATAAAAATATATTACCGTTGAATATAAAGACATCCTGGTTCCAATAATACAGAGAAATTACAACTTTTATCATCTTTATGGTGAAATATCATGACTGTTGGAGACATAAGACAAATTCCTGCAACGATGCTTCCAGAATACTAAATTTTGAAATAATAATAAACATTAAGTCAAAGACAAGCGTGATAGTGATGTTAATACCTCAACATTATCGACATGAGGTTTAATGCCACCAATTTCGGATAAATCCAAAATATGAACCGGTAACCATTCGATAGTTTTCGGGAAATTTTCATAAACCTTTTTATTAAAAATTTCTATAACTTTATCGTTTTGATCACCCCAATGAGTAGCTTGACATTCTCTATAACCATGAATAACATCATCGAAATGACTATCTTGATAAACTATCCGTTTACCAAAGACTCTTTTCAATTTTTTTAAAGACTGGTCAAGAAGGAATTCTTGTTCAAAAGAAGTGAAATGATTAGGTAAAAGAGTGAAATCTTCAAGTGAAAATAATTTACATTTCGTGATATTAGAGAGATCAAAGAACTTTGATGATTCAGGTGAACTTTTTATGGTTTGATTATGGTTCGATAAAAATCGGCAAATTAAAGGAAATTTTCTTGACAAAGCAATTTTAGAAAAATTTGATTTATAGCGACAAAAGTATCTTAAAATTAAACTCATTTATTTTTATTCTATAATGATTTTTCATTTAATTTGTATACATCATCAGCCAATAACATGACAATTTATATTATAATAGATTAGATCGACATATCGATATAATAACATATAATGTAATAAACTCTAAAAATATTCTGATTTTAAATAAATTACAAATTAATAACCTTTTTATTCTAATAATTATGAGTATTATTAACTCAAATATCTAATATATAATAATCTATTTGTCGACAATTACCGTCCATAAGTATGTAAATATTTTAATACTTAGACTTGGCTTGCCTGCCTGGTTTGCGTCTACGTGCTTGACTCTTTGGGTTGTCACCAGCCTCACTACGCTCATCATCGCTGGAAAATGGTTCCTGACCATCACCAGATTCTTCCATCTTACCATTTTGTTTTTTCTCGGACATTAATTTACCTAAAATAGACTTATAAATCAAAACTGGAAACAATTTACCAAAACTAGGTTTGGATACTTCTTCTTCACTTAATACAAATTCATCTCCCTCATCTGTGAGAAACATAACATTATCACTATCAACAATAAATTGTTTTTCATTTACACAAACTCTCTTCCTAGCATTTTGCTTTTTCATTCGTTTACCCCAAGCAATTTCCCTGGCCTCTTGTATGAAATATCTAATTCGTTTTTTTTCTTGATAGAAGTTCACCCACATTACGATGTAGTGCAGGAATGAGGTCAAAATGAGAAGACCAACAATAACACCAGAGAGACCAGGTCGATATCGATTATAATACCATCCTGTTCCACGCCATTTGGGAACACCGTTTCTTAGGAAAAAGTCGTAACGCTCTCGAGACTCTGGACTACGAAGTATGGTTGTAATGGATCCTAATAAAGCGTATAATTTTCTGCTACGTTCATCAGGATTTTTATCTGGACTAGTTAAAAAAAAAAAAAAAAAGAGGTCAGAAATTCATTAACCTAGGTTAATCAATTACGACAAAAATCGATGAAACTTAAATAATTATCATACTGTAAAGCGAGTGACAATTTTCTATGTGCCTTTCCTATCTCCTTTACAGTAGCTGTGGTTTCTACTCCGAGTAATGAATAAAATGTTGCATCCTCTCCTTCAAAACCTGTAAGCTGATCCACTAGATCAAAAATCTCATGGTCCTCTATTAAAATTTAGAATTATTTACAAACTTCAGAATTATTTCTTTTATTGAAAATACATTGTAAATATGCATAAGAAATATAAAAAAAGAATCATACCACTATCCCAGGCTTGTGAACTAGGTAAAAAGATTAGAATCAAAAGAATGAAGCTCGCACAAAACGCAATAAGCCGATATTTGAACATCGCTCTTGATAACTGCGAGTAAGAAATCTTTTAAATTACTAAATTTTAAAAGAAAGAATATTCGAATGATTACAACTATAATGCGATAATATAAAAGTTTTGTTTGACCATTATGATTTTTTTAAAAAAAAATTTATTGCCATTCCTTTATTTTGACCAATCAATCGTTGTAATACATTCATTGTACGTACAAAAAATCTAAACTGATCCCGTTTTGAATTTGAAGCTGTATTTGGTTGGTGCTAAATAAAAAAAATTTGCGAAAAGCTTTGGCACATAAGTTTTATTTTACTTAAAAGGATTTGTTGCAGTAAATTATACGTATACGTACGTATACTGTAAAAATGTTCAAATATCATACTATTAAAATAACTTTATACAATTTATAGCATACGTAATACATTTGTTGCAAATTTTGATAAATATGTACATAATAATTATACGTACGTACGTAATTAATTATACAATGTATACATACTATACGAATAATATTGTTTTTTAAATTAGCTAATTTAAATTAACAAAAATAAAATTAAAAAGTTTTTTTTTTTATGCTAATTTTCAAATTTTCAATCTAAGAGCATATAAATTTTATATCTTCTTGGTTTTCATAATCCACTCAAATATTAAAACATAACGTTTAAAAGTTTCTAAAATTTCATTTGCATTTGATTTGCATGGTCTAATTAAGTTAATTTTTGATTCTATAACCTGATTGGATCAAATTTTACTAAATTTATATTTATTTTTCAGATGGTTTTTTTATTAGTAGTAGGTTTTTTTTTTTTTTTTTTTTTTTTTAAGGTGACCTCTTTGGTCGTAGTTTTTTATTAATACTTATATCGATACATGTTTTATATTGACATATCTATAATGAACTATCAGACAAGTGTACAACTGGTTATATATAATTTTTTTATATTACCTATTTAAGAAGTCTGTTCAAAGGTTTCCCACCAGTTGCTGTACCTAATACTTCTGCTTAGATGTTTTATTTAAACCCTCTGATCTGATCTTGATATTAATTTTATCAGATCACAGATCCAGATCTATTTTTTTTTAATTATAAGATTATAATTCTTAGACTATTTTTATTCTCAAAGTAAACCTATCAGAGTAAGTTGTATTCCTTTTTATCACTAATCTGGTTTGACACTATGACTAAGATCAACACTTGTAGTCAGAGTTATCCTTTAAACTGATATTAATCTTATAAAGTTTATCCAAATCCTAGTATTCATCTTTCTAATTTCTTCTTCATTATCTTCTACTAGTTGTAATTTAGAACTAACTGATTCTTTAGACTTCCAATCTAGATGGTCCAGTATGGTATACTTATGTATTCTTTTTTTTGACAATTCTAGCAGCCTGGTTGGTCATGTGTTCTTTTATACGTCTTGTTATCCAATTTATCTGACAGTTCTTATGAAGATGTTTCATAGATTTCTATCAGTTCAATAGCATCATCAAAACTTTATACTATCTCTTTATTCAAGATTTTCAAGTGAGTTTCCATCTTCTTGATTTCTTAGTCTTCTATACCTGGTAGTCTTATCATAAGTTTGCACCAAAGCCTTATATGACACTAGTTTTTCATATTCCTTTATATATATGTAATATTACACTTCATATAGATGTCCCAAGCTTCCAATATCTGATAGGGTTTAACTTGGTGTATCTAAGATTATAGATGCCTAAAACCCAACTGATCAGCAAGAAACAATTACCATAATACAGGTATAATTTCCAAAATTTGTCATCTGTAGGAATTGAACCTTAGACCTGTCATTTGAGAATTGATAATCTATCTACTTCACTAGGTCACTACACTTTTTTTTTTATTAGTAATTAAGTTAAAATAAAATATAACATATAGTAAAATTTAACATAAAAGTTCTGGGTTCATAGTTTAGCAGATAAGTTTTTAAATTCTTTACAAATAAAATTAATGATTTAAGTTAAACTAAAGATATATTTGTTTGTTTTTTTTGATAGTCTTGTCAGAGTTTTAATAAAAATTTTACTAACTAAAACATTATCTATTTTTAGTAATTCATTTTGAAATTGTAAGCTTAGCATTATTCAAGTACAAAAACTGTACTTAAATGTGATTTGTTATACTAATCTATTTCTAGATTAGAAATCTTTATCAATTTTATTAAGAACTTAATCAGAAAAACTATTTTTATTTTGTATTATTTTATTTACATCTTTTATAAACAACCATTTATGTTTTAGTTTTCTTTTTTTATTTTTCTCTATTCTGATTTTATTCATTAATACTTTTTTATTTTTAACTTTCTTTATATTGCATTCTTTATTTTCAATTATCTTGATTTTTCTTCATTTTAATTTCAGTATTATTTCACTTATTTTCTTCTATTTGATTACTGTTCTACACCTTTGTCACTAAATTTTTTTTCTGAACATTTCTTCTACAATCTTAATATATAATCTAATTCTCTGCTTTGCACCTTTATATAAAACTTGTTTAGCATACAACTTCTTAAATATACTCTTAACTGCTAAGTTATATATATATGTCTTTTTATGTTTAATTTTATTTATTTTTGTTTCATTAACTAATATTCTTTTTAGGTTACATCTTGTAAGCTTGTTCTTGTCTAATTTGTCAAATTTTTTTTATATTAACTAACATGCTAACTTTTCAATATTATTCTAATAACCTTCATATTCTTCATAACTAAACAAATATTTTAATAATTCTTTCTCTGTCTTGCACTTCTTATATATGTCTAAATTGTATAAGTTTGGTATTTTCTTCTTTAATACCTCAAGAATTAGTAAACTATTAGTAATATATTTAATTCTAAATAAGATTTTTTTGCTCTTTTCTAAAGATTTATATTTATTTCCTATTAAATTTCTATTTTTCTTCTATAGTCATCTCCAATTACATTGTGCTTCTGCATCTGGTTCTAGCTCTTTTATTATACTTAAACAATACCACTTAATACTATTTATTATATTCATTAATGTCTTGACAAATTTTCTTGTTAGTATCTTAATTACTGTTTTTTTTCAAAATAATGTATATAAAAAGCTCAAATTTTTTTCAAGCTTCAAGTCTATAATTTCATTTTGCCATACATATTCTTTTACAAGCTTATCATTTTTTGTTCCATACTATTTTACTATATGCTTTAATTTTAACTAATGATAACCTAATATTCTTTGACTTACACATATTTTTAATATTTATAACTAATCTAAAGTTTTTATTTTTATTTCACATTTTAACATTATATAGTGATTTCTCTCTTTTCAGACTTGTAATTACTAGTGCACTATCTAATTTAATAACTATTTTACTATTACATGTTACAACTAATACTACTATTCACACTGCAGTTAACTCTGTCTTTGTAGATAATGACTATTTTGTTATTCTAATTTTCTCTTTTATTATTAATCTGTTTTCATTTTTATTAACCTGTACCTAACTTGTACTCATTCTATAATCTTTTTTCTTTTTTACTAATGACCTATCTGTATAAAAACTGTAATTTGTATGATCTATTTTTATGTTTATCTTCAATTGTTCCAATAACAAGTTTTTAAACTACTATTAAAATTTTACATCTTTAACAAACTGATCTCATGTGCATATATTCTTATTTCTTTATTTACAATTTTTTCTTTACTATTGCTTCTATTTTCTATATGGTTCTTTTTATATTTATTTAGTTTTTCTAACAAAACTGAACAAATTTGTTTTTATAATCTATTAAATCATTTATTAAATATGAAATCTTGTAACAAAGTTCAAATATAAATTTGAAATAAAAGAATATTCAATTATAAAATACAAATATAATATATATTGTATATTAAAATAATATTATTATAAATTTAGAATCTAATAAAATTGAAATAGAATTTCAAATGTAGTTCAAGATAATATAAAATTTAAAAGCAATCTAAATTAATTCTAAATTTGACAATTAATAAATTTAATATTAAGTTGAATTTGATACTATTATAATAAATATGTAATTAATCAATATAATATGATCATATTATTATTATTATAGGGTTGTAACCTTCTTGGTACAATACAACTAAGTAACAAGATCATCTGGTATAGTAATTGACTATTGCAAATATATACAGAATGGAGGTGTAGTAGTTTACTTTACTACACAGTAGCAGGCAAATAATTCAAGATAGTAATAGTATATAGATTAATTTTATTTAATAAATACACAATGTCAATTTTGCCTATAAGAATTACTCTAGAAAGAGAATATCATTTTTACAAGTTAGAAGTAAAGGTAAGAAGGTCTAGGTTGAAGTATAGGAACTTAGAATTAGCAGAAAAAAAGAAAAAGATACCTTTATATATCTTTTTATCTAACCTTACTTGATACTGTACTTAGAGTAATAAAGGTTTGAACAACAATAGATATTATTGTATTTGGAACAGTAAAGGTTTGAACAACATTAAATAATATTGTGCTTGAAGTAATAAAGACTGTACAGAAATAATTGAGAATATTGTTTATATTATTTGTTATTTATGCTTAAAACACTTAAGACTTGTATTTAGAACTTGGATCTGTGCAAAGGCACTTGGAATTTGTACAGAAATACTTGGGTTTATGCAGAGACACTTGGGGTTTGTGTAGAGAATACTTAAGATTCTTGTACTGTGACACTTAGCATAGTAATTTGGTATTAAAATATATGAAACTTGTATAAAGGTACTTGGAGTTTGTAAGATAATAGTAACTTTACAGATATTACTCAGTGTCATGTGACAGTACTATATTTCTAATAGCCAATTAAAATTCTTTTATTTATTTACTATATAATATAACTATTGGCTAACTAATAACTAATAACTAATATAATATAAAATATAATAATAAATATATATATACTCTAATACTACTATATAATATATTATACTAAAATTTGCTTTGTAATATTATAATAAATTGTTAAAATAAAATACAATTTTTTTTTGTTTTTTGCAA